AAGAAAAAGGTAGCATTGGGAACACCCCATCCAAGGCAGAAAGACAGCTCTCAGACATCCACACGGTGTCAGACGCCAGCACAATTCGAACAGCAGCAATTCAAGAAGAGGGGAACGTACGCACTGGGAATGTTAGGCCACTTTCTGGTGTCAGAAACATTTTGCATTTTTTTCCCCTCTTACCAGTGCATCCGCCACGGCAGCCTCCAGATCCGTGCTCGTGCTCAGGACTCGCATGGCATTCACGGAGGCAGGCAGCCTGCCTGGCTGTCCAAGGCCAAACCGGTCTGCGCAAAAGACAACATTGAAAGAGAGCGTTAAGCCCATTCACGTCCGCGCTGAAGTCTTACCAGGCATCTGACCATGAAGCTCCCGACCAAAGGCTCTGGGAATTCTCACACTGGTTCATTAAAGACTGACAGATACTGCCACTTTAGCAAAAAAATTAAAATTAAAATTAAATGCTAATAAGTACTGTGGCTTGGAAGGTCCCCAAGACATTGTTTTTGGCCTTGATGGGCATGTTTTACTGTTGAAAGGCTGGGGAAGAGGAATCTATTTTTTCTTTCTATGCCTTTCCCTTTTCTATTCTTGTTAAATCTCTTATTAATCCTATCCTGGGTGTTGTTTTGTTTTCATGGGGCAAACATGGAGGGAAAGCAAAGGAATCAAAAAATCTCTTTCATTGACTTTAATGAGGCCCACCCATTACTCATTAAACACAATCCAGCACTGATCCTGCAACTTCTCCCTACGTAAGTAGCCCTTATTCATGCACGACATTGGCTTGGGCCCTTGTATATTAAGTTTCAAAGACTTGTTAACTAGTAGAACGGTCTTTCTCTCTGATATGGGATGACCCAGAAAGGGGAACAAAGGTATCATCTGATCATCTGTGGGGCGACTTCAGCCCTGTCTGTGTTGTTTAATGGCTTTTCAGGACTGGTTTAAATGTACTCTGGGATGATACTTGACCTAAAAGCTGTCTCTGAATTCAAGGTGCAATTTCTTTTGTAGCAGCAGCATGTTGATATTTCCTATAGCAGCGAGAACGTGGAGTGAATAAAGCGCAATCCAATACTATTCCTACTCCAGATGCAAGGAGACGCTATTCTGCTAGCCCTCCAATGACATAAGCTATATGGAGTGGTAGAGGGTGATATCTTTTATTGGACCAATTGCCTGGTTGGAATAAAGCGAGACCAGCTTTTGAATGCAAAACTTTCTTTATCGGGTCTCCCATAAGCTATATGGGACATATATGGGGTGGAGCTGGACTCGTCTCAGTGGTGGCAGATGACAGAACAAGGAGCAATGGCTTTAAGTTGAAGCAAGGGAAGTTTAGGTTGGACATGAGGAAAAGCACTCTCATGAGGAGGGTGGTGAAACACTGGAACAGGTTACCCAGAGAGGCTATGGACTCTCCATCCTTGGAGGTTTTGAAAACCAAGCTGGGCAAAGCCTTGCTGGGATGATCTAGTTGGCCATGGTCATGTTTGGAGCAGGGGGTTGGACTAGATGCGACCTCCTGAAGTCCCTTCAACCCTCATTTTCTATGATTCTATAATAATACTCCATATTTTCATACTGCAGAGTGTCCTGACTCAGTAATGACTGGGTAACTTGGCTCATGCTCCAGAAAGGTCTCTTGAGAAACTACATATATCAGTATTATCTTGCCTGCCGCTGCTCCCAATGGAGTCAATCGCAAGACTCCTGTTGCCATGAAGGGTGCAGGTTCAAGCGGTAT